AAATTCCTGGGAAAATATTTAAATTTCAGTTTTCAAGCTGTCTGATGAGCTCCCTAACAATGCATGTGGTAGATTGGCACCTTTTGTTTATCATAATTGACTTTATGAGCAAACTAAAGATTTAATTTTCAAATTCATTTCTAGAAAATGTGTCAGTTTTTCTGGCAGTGGGATTCATACTTCTTAAATGTGGAAAAACATAATCAAGAAAATAAGATTCATTTCTGTTGACTATGAATGATGTCACATTAGCTAATGTTTAGTTCCACACTCACCTGCTGAGCACTGGCCTGCAGCAGGTTGCCCAGATGTTCCACCAGTTCTGCAAACGTGGGCCTGTCTGTACGGTGATCCAGCCAGCAGTCCAACATGGTCTGGTATCTATTTAATCACAAAACATAGCCATCGTTGATGTTTTTTTAATTAGTTCATAAATGGTGAAAAAGTTTTACGTCAATTTCTTACATCTCTGTGGTTGCATATTCTGGCGGCCTCATTCTGGTTCCTTCCTTAAGTCTCCTGCAGAAAGACTCATCGATACAAACACCAGGATACGGAGAAGCCCCTGTGAGGAATATGAAGTGAAGGGTGAAAGGTCATATATGAGGTGAAAGGTCAGCTTTACAATTTTCTTTTATAGCTAAGGCTGTGTAACCAAGATAAGTTGTTTACCTAAAGAGAAGATCTCCCAGAGGAGGACCCCAAAGGACCAAACATCACTCTGTGTGGTGTACACACGGTCAAATATAGTTTCAGGAGCCATCCACTTTAGAGGGAGACGGGCCTGTAAAAGAACATGTCATTTTCACTTAACACATCACTTAACAGTTTTTTTGTGTTTGAAGGGATCTGTAAAAGTTATCTTTCCCTTTTGTTTTATTTAAATCTGTTTATTAGAATTTTTATATTTTCATAATAAACAGCATTTTTCTGCCATCCCCACTTAAAGATGAGTTGAATCATTTTCTAATATTCAGTTTTCTCTAAAAAATAAATATGTTTTTACTTAGATAGATCTGGTTTCTGTGTTTTTTAACCCTCAAAGCCAGACATTAATTTCTAAATAGTAAGAATTACTGCCAGAACTCAGGTTTTGATGACTTACATCTCCTTTACGGACATAGTCGGGGTCTTTGTAAACGTCCCTGGCGAGGCCAAAGTCACAGATCTTTACCACGTTGTTCTCTGAAAGCAGGATGTTTCTGGCTGCCAGGTCTCTGTGGATACACTACAGAGAAAGAAAACAAATGTAAAAAGTCATACATACACACTTGAATAATGATTAGCATCAGTAGCTTCTGTAGCCAAATGTGATAATAATTTGTATTTTTAACCTTGCGGGACGACAGAAATTCCATGCCTTTGGCCACTTGAAAGCTGTAGCTTATCAGATCCTCCATAGTCAGGTGGTCGTCATCTGAGCTCTCTGCAGTGGCATCATAATATATTAGTTATTTTCTCTGTGATATTTCACTATATTCTCATGTGTCAACCCTGCTGCTGTACCAACTGAATTTCTCCACAGGGGATTGATAAAGTCTTAGCTTACATAGCTTAGCTTAGCTTAGTTAAACTTAGCTTTGTTTAGCTCCATTTATTAATTTGAATTATTTGTATGCAAAAGTGTCTCTTTTAATGTTCTCACCATCATCTCCCTGAGGGTCCCTGTTGCTGCATGAGGGCCTGTCCTTAGCTGTGGTGCAGATTGCTGTTCCAGTGAGGATATCCAACTGGGCAACTTTATCCAGATCCTGATCCGTTGCAGTTACATTCTCATGGGAAGATGCCCATTTCTGACTATCAACCCGCTTCCTCTGTACGCCACAGAAATATGGATATTATTGAGAGAATAGCAGACAAAACACTTTGAGAGGAACCTCCTGCAGGTATGAGATAATGTACATCACCGTGCTCTGCTTTTTTAACCCAAACATGTCAGTGTTTACAAAAAGAGGAGCATTTTAACAACCAAATCCAAAGGTCAGCTGACAGTGTTTAAATTGTCTGCAGGAACGTCAGGCATCATTTACCTTGTACGGGCTGTACTCTCCACGCTTGCTCTTAAGGTAAGCGGAGAGGTTTCCATGTTTACAGTATTCTACAATCACCATCAGTGGTCCTACAGATGTTGGGCGAGAGGTGGAGAAGACAGTGAGACGAGTAAGTAAAGCTAAAAAAAAAAACATCCCTACTTTTGATTGCTGATAACTTGCTTTCATATCATAGAGAACAGTCAGGAAGGTTAGCTCCGTGTCTTGACTCACCCCCAGCCTTGGTGCAGGCTCCCAGCAGGTTGACAACATTCAGGTGATGTCCAATGTGAATGAGAATTTTCAGCTCTGACATCAGTGCGTGATACTCACTGGATGTGGCTCCCTCTACAGCACAGAGACATGGGGTTCAGTGACGTGTTTTTTTTGGATGTTCCCAGTGCAATGCACGGAACAACAAATGTCTGACCTTTAAGCATCTTGACTGCAACAGTTGTGCAAGTCGTTGCTTTCTCGATACCGAAGGCAGCTGCTTCTACCACCTGACCAAATGCTCCGCGTCCCAGTGGGTCACCTTCATCCAATACAAGATACTATTAAAACTATTGCCAGGTGAAAAAACCTCATCATCGCCAACATCGTGACCTCTAGAGAATCTGAAACCTTTAATACCTTTGTGTGAAATGAGGTAAAGAAGGATATATGATTATAAGTTCATATATATTATAAATATGGTTTTGTATCTCGTTTTTTATTGATGACAGCAGTAATCCTACTGTGTGACAAAGCTGTTGGATCAATTTAAAACACGTCATGTGAATTTCAACAGTCGTGTGTCTCACCAAGTTTAAGTCTGTCTCGTGGAAACTCCCACTTGTTAGCATCATAGGTGAGCCGTTCACACTGCTCGTCCATAGGCATGTCCTCTGCATCCAGGATTATTGAGAGATATCCTGGCTTTAGATCCACGCCATTTGGCTGAAATAGGATGGGAGGAACAAAAGAATTACAAGAAAAAGTTTTTAAAAAATCAAAGAAAAAAATGGTCACGGGGGAAAAAATATGTTTTTCTTTTTTTTTCCTGAGTCTGTGATGTCACTGTAGTGAACAAGGACAGCTCAGCACTGCAGGCCTACGTGACTTCAGGGAGCAGAGAGTAGCTCTTTCATTCCATAATACAAGGGAGAACAACTAGTGAGAAGCAGACCAGACAGTTCTCATCAGTCAGGTCTTCTCACAGTGTGTCAGCTCATTCATGCACGTGTTTGCTTCAACTGCATTTTTAAATTTCGAGTAATTTTTCCGAGGATCGATTTCAAAGGAGAGTGAAAGACAGGAAGACAATTCAGATAGGAGAACAGTCTTACCCTCTTTCTCCCACGGATGACGAAAACAATCAGCAACCAGAAAAACATGGCGATGACGACTGAGCCGATTGGAACAATGAGTTCCACGTTGGTCTTCTCTTCAGCCCCTGAAATATAAACGTGTAGTGTTGTAGTGACGTACTGTCAGGGAGAACTACAGTATCAAGTCTTTGCAGTTATGAGTGCAAGATGGGCTTTTTTGTTTGTTTTCAGATGTATGGGTTGGGTTAAACCAATTGTGCTTAGAATTTTTTATTCTCATTATTAAAGAATACTTGGGAATCAGTGCCCCCTGTTGGAACATCCATATCAAGACATTGGAAAAAGCAAATCAGAGCCTTTGTTCTCAGTACTTAAACGTGCTTAACACAAATCTGTCTCTTGTTTTATCAAACCATGTGTACTATATGAAAGTGATACTTTTCAGTGTGATCATTAAGATTTACTAATCCACAGTAAATGTCTTTAATAAACTGTTTTAAAAAAAGTGTTTTTAAACAATGAGTGTTAATTTAATAGATATTTGTGGGGGTTGTTTCCACGAACAGACTTTGTTGTTAGGGGCGCAGCCTAACATGATCACTGAGCCTCTGTAACTGGGTCTGCATTCTTCTGGCATGGACAGGGTCACGTAGACCCCGGTTCTGATCACAGCGTTTGTTTGTTTGTTTGTTGCCGTGTCTCTGTATTCAACACAGATTGGGGCGGACGAAGGGAGAAGAGACTGGAGCGGGCAGTGCTGACCTCTCCCTTTGTCTTCTAACCTACCTATTGTTTGAGACCCAGAAACTCCCAGCAGGATGTGCTCTAACTGGGACAACTTCCTTTCATGCTAACTCAAAGTTATTTTTACACTTAAGTGCATCTTTGATATCAAAATGTCATGTGATGTAAATTCCTGAGGCCAAATATAAAAACAAGGCTGTTGTGGCTCAGGTCGTGTTTGTTTAAAACAATTGGTGGGATGGTGTGGAGTATACAACGGAATCTCCTCAGAGAGTAAACCAGAGTTTAAGGAAGAACACTTCAGTATATGTTTTAGAATGACCATGGCAGGGATCCTAACTCAAATACTAACTGACCTTCAGTTGTCAGCACCGCCTGTGAGCTCTCACAGCCACGGCTGTTACAGGCCGTGCAGGTGTACAGACCACCGTCGTCTTTCTTCACACGCTGAATCGTCAAAGTATGTTTGTTTTCACTCAGAATCACACCTAAAAATGAAGAATTGTGTCAAATTTAAAGTGTCAACTTCAACGAAATGTTGTTGTTCATTGACGAACGTCTCACCTGATCCCTCCAACACAGTCTGATTGTTTTTGGTCCACACCACCTGTGGGCTCGGTATCCCTTCAGCATCGCAGTGGAGACGTATCATCGCACTGACGTTAACTTTGAGGTCGGTTAAATTGTTAAGGATCCGCGGAGCTTCAAGAGCTACACATAGGACAGTAGAACAAGATTGTATTAAGAGTTACCGTGACAACTTAAAAAAGATTAAACCCTTCATAATTTCATATCAAATATCATAATCAATTTAAATGATGTTTGCATTAATCAGGTTCTAAACCATGGTAAATATTTGAGGTAAAAATAATATTTAATATATTCTTTTTTTTAAGTATGTATGGTGTCTAAAGCCAATTTCAGTTTTTTTCCATGAAACAATAAATCCAACTTAATTGATTTAATTAAATATGTAAATGCCATCTAAACTAACTGTGCTTGACTTGATTCAAACAGCTGGATTGCCAGGTGGACGACTTCCTGGAATGATTTATCTGTTGAATCAAAATAAAACCACATCCTGTCAATTTTGATTGAGAATAAAACTAAACGAGAAGTTTCTCCTGGAGCAAAACTTAAATGCCTTTCTCGTCACTTGAATGATAGATGTGCAACTTAAACATCCTGAAAAATCATGTTATAAACTCCCTGAGTCTCTCCCTCATCTCATCATTTGTTTATGCTTCCATCCATGTTTTACTTTTTACCTTGAAACTGATGAAAATGTAGTGACTGTGATGTTAACACCTAGTTAGAGTGAAAGAGGAAGTTGTAAATTTGTCCTACCTTTGAGGGAGAGTCGACGCAGCAGACAGGTCCTCTCCCTCGTCTTGATGTTCTCCACCTGACAGGCGTAGGTTCCTTCAGCCTGATGGGAAGCATTGGGCAGTAACAGGTCCAGCGTAACATTGTTACCCTGCTGGCTGGACAGTACCACCTGCGACAGAGGGTTCTGCTCCAAGAGCAGAGATCGACACAGCTGCACCGACGAGGTCTCTGACTCAGAGGTGTTGCTCACACGAAACCAAGCCAGATTACCATATATCAGCCCGTCTGCTTTACACCTCAGAATGACATCGTCTTCTTCTAAAGGCTCATTGGACGGAGACATGCTCACCTGGAGACCACCTAGGACATGTGGACACAAAAGCAAGAACAAAAATGAAAATGATGATTTACGTTTCTGAGAATCAGCAAGAAGGAGGAAGGACACAAGCACTCACGTGTGACGTGGAAAACGATGACGCGCGAGTCTTCTCCAACCTTGTTGGCAGCCATGCATCTGTAGAGGGCGTGAGCTTCAGCTTTTTGAATCTTCAAAGAGCTTGTAATTTTCTAAAAACACACAGTAAATTCACTCAGACTGATGTCAAATGTCAGGGGAGGTAACCTCAGATTCTCTCCGCAGGAAAAAAGAAAACTTTACCTTGTTGATGTGATCAGTTTTAGTCATAATTCGCTCAATGAAATTGTGAGCGGTGCTGTTGGTGACGTCTCTCCAACCGCTGCACTTTTCCACTTGTATCTCAGACCTGTTAAACCCTGGCCTGTTTGATCAGAAATACAAAGTAAAGCACTTTAGAGACACTTTTTTATTGGTAAAATGCTTTTTCTGTCATCGTGGTGATATTTTTCAGGTCCATACTAGGAAAGATGATATTTTGAGGTTTGGGGTTTAATTTGAAGTTAGGATTTGGAGGATTAAGGGTTAAGGTAGGCAATTTGTAATAGTCAAGGTTATGCTAAGTCTTTGTATAGTACTCAAAACCGTGAAAACTAGCCCTGAGTGTGTGTGTGTTTCCATTTTTTTCACAAACATCCATGTAGTCTTAAACCAAAGGATCATAGACAGGTGAGCGTGGATTTTCTTTGGCCAGAATTTGTAAAAGGATTTTGACCAAAAGCAGGATGAAATCAACAGGAAACAGTGCAGGAAGGAAGAAGTGTTATTCAGAAGAACACGCTGACAGACATGAACACCTCCGCCTAAACACTCATCATATAACTGCAGACCTGATGAGAGCCTTATCACACAAACATGCACACACGGGGCACATACACCAACCAGTAGGCCCCACATATGTGATTCAACAATCTGATTGTGATTCAAAACCGTAGGTCTGTGATGTGTTGAGCGAGTACCAAAATCACCAAAAAAGATGTGTGATTGCACATAATTAGTGAAGAAATTCTAGGTCAGAACAATTGAGGTTTGATGACCGTGAATCACATTTGTTTAATTGCGTGTTCCTTTTCCTGCTCTGGTTTTTGATAACATCCTGAAAACAGCTGTTGGCCTCATGATCAACAACCTGTTGACACAGTGACTCAGAAGACCCTCCACCCCAGATCCACTCAGGCATTGAAAATGTCTGACTCACTTAAAGACGTCTGGACATTCTTCTTTGGGCATCCACTGCCACTGAACGTGTGTGGGTACTGGAAATCCACGACATGTGCACCTCAAGGTGGGGCTGCTGCCGCACGGGTACAGGTCATTGTCCACTGCCACCTCCTTCTCAATGATGTGAGGAGGCACTGCAGAGGAAGACAACACCTGGTATGAGCACAGCTTCTAGCCCTGGAGTGTCGGAAGAAGAACGAAGAATGAAAGGTACCATTGACCACCAGTTGGACGGAGCGCCGATGTTCCTCTCTCGTAACTGCGTTGAACAGGATTACTGTGTAGTTTCCTGCGTCCATTTCAGTGACGACACGGATAAGGAGGGTTTCGTTTCTTTGTTTTATTCTGTAATCGTCCTTCAGAGGAACGCCATTCTTCAACCTGAGAAAAGAGAAAAGTGTGTTATTTCACAGATTAGATAAGCCGGTATGATGATGTCACTCTGTGGTTTCAGTATATCACTGAACACGCACCACTTGAAGCTGGGTTTTGGGTAGGCTGAGAACCTGACAGGGTTTATGGAGATGAGATCTCCCACAATGACCTCCCTCATCTTTGTCCATGGCTCTTCAATGTCAATAAAAGGCTTTTCTGTTAGAGATTCAAATCCCAATGTTAGTTTCTTTACTTTGGAAATAATTGAAGAAACAGAGATAAATCAGCGATCAGACAAAGTATGCCATAAAATGATTAGCCACCACAACATTGTTACCAACACCAATGTCCAAACATGCCAACATCTGCTATCGTTACAGAAAATACAAAATGATGCAGAACAGATTCAGAATGTCGTTGTTCTTATTCGGTATAAAGCCGCCCAGAGAAGTGACTCTCACCGTATACTATTAGAGATGCCGTGGCACTTTTCTCCATCTTCCCACTGGACGCAGTGCAGGTGTAGTCTCCATGATGATCCAGAGTCACATTGTTCACTATGAGGGTGTTTGAAAGCTCCAGATAGTCCCACATCTTTTTCTTGTGCGCAGTCATTGAATAGTCTCCCTGTGTCTGACGTGGGTAAAAGAGGAACATCAGCGAGGCATCATTTATTTGTCTCTCAATAAGATGACACAACGCCAGAGTGGAAACTGCCGAAATGTCTAACTGGATCTAAATTGTTTCGCGTGTCTGGTGTGTCCAGACTCTTGGCCAGATGTGGCCAAACCAGTTTTATTGGAATTTTATTCATAGGTCTTATCAAAATCATCTTGCCTTCCATATCTGAAAGCCAACATGAAACATGAAATAAAATCAGTCTCAAAAAACATGTCCATGAAAAACAGGTTTGTGTGTGTTTACTCTGGGCTCAGTGCTGGCTCTGATGCAATTTATAACAGAGGCTGTGGACAGTGTTAAATTTGACCACTGTCCACAATTAGGCTCTGGACCTGATTTTGGACATGCCTGACTTATGTAAACCATTAAAAAGGCTCCAAAAACATGTCTGTTCATTCTTTTGCACTTTGACCCTGACATTAAGGATTCCTAAAAGCAGGAAGGGAGAAATATATAAGAGGCCAACAGGAACAGAACACTGTAGTATTTCTGTCAGTTCGAGTTGGAAAGATTTGCTGACTGAAGTATGTAACAGGCAGAGCGGGAACTACACACACTGACCAGTGCCCCACCAGAGTGGGTCCAGTTGAATGACATGCCCACATTGAGCTCCGTGCGGGCAGTGCAGCTGAGCTTCAGCTGCTCCCCCACAGACAGCTTCACTTGTGTCGGGGTCAGGGTGAGGTCGTGGATCTTGTATCCTGCGGAAACGAGAGCAAGGACAGAACAGTGAGTCCTGGGCCTATTGTTTTAGAAAATGTCTGTCTGGACACTTGACTCTGTTGTGGCCTCCTATTATGTACCTAGATCACAACATACCCTCTATGGAGCAAAATGAATGCTTTAAAAGTTTGCCATATTTACATTAACCTAAAAAAAAGAAATGTCAGTTGGTCTTGTCTTCTTTATCTTACCAATAACTGCCACGATGTAAAGAGGGGACTTGAACGTCTCATTTCCTATCCGTGTCTGACAGGACACCACGCCAGCATAACTGATCAGATAGCTAGGAACCGTAAAGCCCGTCCTAGCGTCCCATAGAGATTCCTTTCCATCGGGATGAAGCTCCTTATTTGGATACTTCTGACAAACACAAATGTACTGATGTAATGTTGGGACTCAGGTGAGAAGATGACGAATGTCAATACTCTCTCAGTGAGAATAAGGTTTTTTGGACAGTGTATAGTCCTCTGTCAAAACAATAAATAGATTAAAAATACTCACATTGTGAAGGGTAACATTGAGATCCTCCACCGAGCCTCGACACGGTATCACTACGCGCTCTCTTTCACGGACAAACACCACCTTATATTCTTTGTCCGACGGCACAAATGGCACATTGTAATCTAGGGTGAAAAGAAACACCGACATCAAATATATGTATTAAACCAGCTCTGTTTTTGTCGAGTTTAAAGACTTTATGAAAGCGTAATTAAATCTAGAATATGTAGTATCACTGGTGCATTTGAACCTATACACCAGGTAAATTCACTGACCAACATAACTCTGTTTGTCCGACTACAACCACTGGATGAAGTTGTTTCATACTATGAATCAAATACAAATGAAGACAGATGAAAGTTAGCTGTTGAATAAAACTCATTATATTTTCCTCTCACTGTCTTGCAAAGACTCAAAGATGTATTTTACTAATAGCTGTAAAAAATGTCATATGGATCTCAACAGAAGATAGCGATGGCTGTTGTGTGCCTGTCTGTGGATGCTATCCTGATGTCAACTCCTCACAGTGTGATCAGTGCATCATTATGCCCTCAGGTACAGTAAATGCCGATCACTGATTCCTCTCCATACTCATACTACGCCGTATAGAAATTAATTATAAACTGTAGGTGCTGACAGACCTGAACTCTGTGACTGTATGTCATGTACTGAAAAAAACTTTGAATAGGAATTCAATTCTCTTGCAAAGTTCTGCACCAGGCAGTGAGCCTCGAGGATGCTCTTGTTACTCCTCTTGTAGTTGATGGTTTTTAATAAAGCTAAGTTTTTCAGTAAGAAAGAAACAGGATCTCTATCTGCCTAAGAAACAAAGATTCAGGTTCAGCATTTTATGGAATTTCTTTCTTTTCTGAAAAGGTTTTTTAATACAAATTAATGTCCCTCACAGTCTAGTAATGATAGTGTTACAGTTGAAGTCAATAGGACTGCTTAATAATGAAGGAGAATTTTACAGTTATGGAATTCTATTGTTTTATTAGTATTGCTTTAGTTATGTATCCTGAACTGTTCCATCTGCAATAGTTTTGTTTGCATTTCTTGTCTCACCTTTCATTAACACCTTCCTTTTTTCTTAATTAAAGTCTTAAAGTTTTTGTTGATACATTAAATAATATATACAGTTATGTGAAAACATCTTTTAGTATAATTAAACAGATGTCTAGTTAATGCCGTGAAAAAAACATTATATCCAGCAACCCATCCATCCATTTTCATCCGCTACCGGGTCGCGAGGGCAGCAACCACCACCCAAATCACATTGCACCGCACCAACCCCCCAAACCTTCCTGCAGGTGGTGAGTCCACTGGAGGGTACCAACCACCCTAACCGGGATTCGAACTTCCACACCAATGACAGAGACATTGCCTCTGGGCCAAAGCGCCAACATATACAGCAACTCTTCGTCGTAATCCTAATAGATAGTCGCCGTGCTAATGACAGCACAACTAAGTGTAAACAACATAAATCTTCAGAACTGAATGTACCGTGGACAAAGACATAAACTGCAGCTGACGTCTTGCCATCTTTAGCCCTCAGGTCTCTGTAGTAACACTGATACTGGCCGTTTTCAGCCACAGTAGCGTTGGAGATGGTCAGTGTTGTGCAGAATAGCCCTGATCCGCTGCAGTCGCTGATGGAGAAGTGAGTGCTCGTAGGAGGAGTGGACCACGTTAGATACTGGTGACCCCTGACAGGACCAGAGAAACAGAAGGACTCTTAGACAAAACAAGCTTATTTTAACAAAGCTGTGTGGCAGACTGGTGGATAGAGGACTCAATGAAAGCTGCACTGTTTTTTCTGAACAGCTCTTCTTCTTAAGACATTTTAGTGAATTTGGAATGTGTTTGGTTATTTCTGATTGATTTGAGATCTCACCTGCACGTCAGCGTCACATTGTCAGACTTGTTCATCCTGTGGACACCAATGATGTTTAACGTCGGCGGATCAGGCATGAACCGCAGTTCGCTGGCTGCACAAATCAATAAAACAGTTCCACGTCAGTCACAGCAAACACAACTCTGACTTAACTATAAAAGTATTTCCCTTTTAACACTTTACTAAGAATTATATGAAAAGCAACACAAAGATAACCAAACACACATGATGATATGTGTAGTTTAGGTGACTCTCTGAAAACCAAGGGCCATTTTCCCACTGCTGTAGAAAATGGCGTAGCCATGGAAAAACAGGAAACAGGCGATGACGGGCCAGGTCAGGCTCAGTAGTCCAGCACAGTGTGGTGTAGGTGGGGTTCCTGTTTCTGGTGATACAGGCTGTCCACCACCTCCCTGTGAGGCCCTAATGCACGTATTGTATTGTATTGTATTGTGTTGTATTTTATGAGGGTGGAAAATCGCAACACTAAAGTGACCAAGTTACTGCAGACGTATAAACAATTTGAACTGGTGACAGATGGAGAGAAATGCTGATTAAAAACTCACACAAAATGGAATTAGTTTAAATTTCCACTTGTGTCAAAGGTCTCCATCATTTTCCACTGAAAACTTTTTAAAACCTTTTTTAGCTTATAAACATTGTTTATTCAAAAAATACATATTTAAAAAGCCCTCATCAACATGTTAGCATTTAGTTGGAATCTCTTAGTGTCTCTTAATTACATAACTTTAATTAAAAAGTTAAGTTATTAATAGTTTGTCTTACCAGCAACATAACCGATGGTCAGAATAAGTACTGGAATGACGGAGACTGCATGAGCCATCATCCGAGAGACATGGACAGAGTCCTCATCAAAGTATCGTTAAGGAATTGAACTTTTCCAGTAAGAAAAGTAAAAACGCAGTGAGAAAATCCGAACCACTCGAGGGGCAGTTGCAGGACAGGTCCCTGCTGCTGGGGTCGTTGCATGTAACTGATGTCGCTTTATTCCTGTCCGGAGAGACCTGAGAGCAGGAGGAGCAGCATCAGCCGTACAGCAGCAGAGCGTCAAGTGCGACTGTCCCAGTGTGTGCGTGTGAATGGGTGCGTGCGTGTGTCTGGGAGGGGTTAGGATAAATCTGTTACAATAACAACACCGAACAATAAAGAGAAAGAAATGCACTTTGGTTCATTAATCTGCAAGACTTTACAACAATAATAACAAATATGTATATTAATAATAATGTTAATTTAATTTATATATTTAAATATATTGTCATATATTTTATAATTTCTATGATTTTTGTTTTAACTAGTTATCAGTCGTTAATTGCGTTTAATCGCATTTACAGTTATTTGTCCCCAACTACACTTGTCACGATGAGCAAACAGTGATTACATTTAACACTGTAGTAATTTATTTTGTGCTTCATCTCCCTAATGATAAACCTCGATTATTTTTATATTTTGTCATTTCGACATCTGCCACAATGATGAATACTGCATCAATGTCTTCATGCCAGTGATGATGATGAAAATATATGTGGTTTACCTTCAACATTGTGAGATGTTTTAAAGTCACCTGAAAATTGTGAAAACCTAATTCAATAGTTTAGAGCACACAACAAGTCCCTTGTTTAATTTGTTGCTGCAGAATGTGAGGGACCTGCTGTAGTCCCTGACATAGTAAAGGAAAAAGACATCATGGACAGTGAAGGGACAGAAGCAGGAAATAGGCCACACTTCCTCTGACAGGATACTGTGTGCCTCTAAGAGGCATCCTGGAATTTAATGCCACAAAAGGCTTTTACAATGTTTTCACAAAACTTTTTCCTTCGCCCATTTAACTACTTTCAGCTTTTTACCGACCGTCAAAAATATATTGACGTGTATGTGTGAGAGAGAGTGATTGTAAGAGAAAATATTAAGACGAAATCATTGTATTAATTTTAAAGCTTTAACCAGCAGTAAATACATTTACTATTTTTGTGTAATAATATTATATATAATATCATAAGATATTATATTATAGATATAATTGCATAGCAATGTCATGTTAAGTGCAGACAGGAAATTGAAAACTGGAACTAAGGCCGAGTACTATGTTTTGTCGGTCGCATTTCCGCGTTGCACAAAACAAGGAAAAAAGAAGCGGCTGGACTTCAGTAAGATGAGGTGGAGTTCTGCCGGCTTCTTCTTTATTGATATTTTATGGTGTTTTCTGGCGTGCTCCTTTTTTATAGCATTATGTGTGCACAATATTTGGAGAAAACACAAATCATGCCGTGTTTATATGTTATTTCAGGATCTTATTCGATACGGAAAAACAAAACAAAACGGCAAACGAGATGAATGGCTGCGTGTGTTGGATGTCCCTAAAAGGTAATAAAACGACGTCTGCTTATGTTTATTTATAAGCGTAATATTTTAATTCGATTGTTAACAACTTGATGGAAATAAATTAAATTGTGAGTAAGTCTTTCATTTTGTTTAAGGTGGTTTTGGCACTTTTATCTGGTGTCTGTGTGTTGGAATGGTTTCCTGTTGGTGTCGTATCTTAAGGTCATACTCCAGCATCGGTCACATCCATCATGGTTACTTTGGACAGTAAACATTTTGACTGGTCCGTTAGGCCGTGCTGATCATGGTAGGTTGGGGGGTCTGCCCTGTCAAAGCATCGGTTTGTCACTTTTTGTTACATAATGACTCATGTCCGTGTCGTCTGTAGTTCCACAGCTGTCTACTGTCCTACTGTACCTGCTGCTGTGGATCCACTCTCTCAGGAGGCTGCTGGAGTGTCTGTGTGTCAGTGTTTTCTCTGATGGCTACATGAATTTGGTGCAATACCTCTTTGGCCTGGGTTATTACATCGTCCTGGGACTGACGGTGCTTTGTTCAGATCATGTAGGAAAAGGTAAGAAAGAAATGCATTTCCTCCGCTACTACTTTCAACTGCTGTATCTGTGATATTAATATAACGTGTTGTTTCCATCAGAGACTGGCAGCCTCCACTCTCAGGTGACGTGGTTCCATGTGGTTGGGGTTGGACTATTTGTTGCAGCCTCAGTGCTACAACATCGGTCCATGGTCCTATTGGCCGGACTCCGCATCGGGAAGTCAGGTAAATTTTTGAAAGTTGATTAATGTAGCCTTGGTCAGTACACGTCCTGCACACATCATTACTGTTGATTATATTAGACATAGACATACAAGGTTTGTTGTAACAATTTATATTGTAATGTTATACATGTGTCAGCTTTTCATTTCATAACTTTCTTTTGTGTGTGTGTGTGTTTTGATGTTTATAATCAAGGTTGCCATGGTTGTGCAATGTAAACCACTGGTTAATATACTATACATTTGGAATGAACTTTTTACATCTTTAGCCTACATGCTGCTTATACAGTAGTTTTTAATTAACTGATTATTGTCCCTTTTGTTATTCTTTATTTTCCTATCATTTTGCATGTCCTTGAATTTACAGTAAGATGTATTTTTATTTCCTTGTTTATTTTTACCTATGCTGCTGTGACTGTTCTTCCTTGTAAGACTTATTTATCCATTTCTCCTTTCTGGTCTTGTAGGAGCAGTTGAGACACTAGCTCACAGAATACCAACGGGAGGCTGGTTTGAGTGGGTCTCATGTCCACATTACTTTGCTGAACTTCTCATCTACATCTCATTAGCTTTCATGTCTGAATCCCTGTCAATAACATGGTGGCTTGTTGTCCTGTATGTGTTGTTTAACCAAGCACTGGCAGCTCAGCTTTGTCATGAACTCTATATTAGCAAATATGATTCATACCCAACGAACAGGAAAGCATTCATACCTTTTGTTTTTTGAATAAATGCATTTGTTTAAGAGTGAAATGAATATTTTATTCAGTTAAAGCCTGCAGGTGAAGATGTGGCCAGTTAAGCAGTGGTTCTGGATAACTGTACTAGATACCGTCACAGTTTGGTCTTTTAAAATTTTGCCCAATAAAATACAAATCACAATTAATACACTTTACACCCATAGTCTTATGCATAATGGAAAATTCCACATGCACACTACCAGCTTGGCTACCCTGCCAAAACCTGCACTTCCCTTTATGTGCTTTGTTTAATTTTGTCATTCATAATTCAGTCATTTGAAGAATTGGATCAGACAAATATAGGGCTACAGTCCATTGGAGGGTAACATAAACAAGGCACCATTCACACTCACGTACCACCTTTACTAGTCACTGTGTCCAGATAAAAAAATGTCCTATATCTGCATGTTTTTGAACTGCGGGAGGAAACTGGAACCTGGCTAAAATAGTGAAATGCAAACTGTCAAACAGAGGGAAAATTACATTAACAGAACATATCATTCCTGGTTAAAAAATTACAATAATTTATTTCCTGTGACCTCTTAAAACGACGTAAGAATGCCAGGTTGTCGTCTGTAATTTAAACTCCTGAACAGAAGATGGCGATAAAACCGCCGTTCATACAAAGAAGGAAATTAAAGCCGTAGGTTCCTGTTTCTCGCTCTCTGATCGTGACGTGTATTACAGCCGAGTCTGCTAATGTGCAAGCTGTTACTATGAGGTTAGCTCATCTCTTTACCGGTAATATTAAGTGATTCGCGAAACAGAAAGTTAGGACCGAGTTGACTTAGTTTTCGTGTTGTCGAAGCAATAATGCCTGTAATGGCCAGCGGAGCACATGGACGGGCAGACAGAAATATCACAGGTGTCTCGGTTCCGCTTGCGGTGTTGTTTTTGTTGTCGTTCGGAATTGTTGCTTCTGTCCCCGAAGAGCAGAAATCTCTTCAGCAACAGCCACAACAAGAGGTGAGACACAGTAGCTTTGTTATTATTTATCATTTAGCCGTTCACATTAGCAATCTCAATGATGCTGGTGATTCTGCTGCCTGCAAACTCTTATAGTTAGCCCTTAGTGCTAACGTGTTTTACCATGTTCCGGTTTTCCCAACTAAGTGTGTCAGGCCTAAACATGACCGGCCAATAAATATTTAATTAATTCTTAATTATTCATAAACAAGTATGTGTTATTGTCTATAACCTTAGAAACATCCCTAAAGTAACAAGGCATCATCGAACACCCCATCTCGGACTTGGTAATGTTTTAAGTATCTATTTCGAGTTGGTATTTAATATACACAGATGTAAAGACAGTATATTACATTGAAGGTAAAAACATTTTTATACAACTTACAAATTGTGCTGGTCAAAAATAGAATATGAAATATTCCACTTGCTTCCTAAAGTGCATGTTATTTGCAAATAATAATCGTTGTTTTAAATATCAAAACCAATACCAGTCCTTTTTTGGAAATGTTTTTTCACGAGTAGGTCATCTATCGAAAGGTTATCATGTCAGATTTCCATGTTGTATACACTTTTGATAACTATTATTTGTGTTTTAACTGAATTCTATTAAATTGTCTGCTTTCTCACATTGTTGAGTTGAATGTCAAGCATGTCATGTTACTATACCAGTAGATGGTGCTAAACCCTACACATCGTACATTTAAAGGCAATTGGCATATTCTGATATTCCGTTCTACTGTGAAGTCCTATCTGATTAAAAAACAGGTTGTTAGTAAAATTTCGTGCTAAACTTGAAATGTCACCAAACCAAACAGACAAGTTAGACTGTCAACAGCCTTTGTGTTCTCTGTAGCTGACTCACGTTCTCAATTATTGACTTTTCTCTGCAGAAAGCTATTACTACACATCCAATTGGCCCATTGGTGTCTGAAGATGGCACCCCCAAAGGAGACCTGGGATTCATTCACGCCTTTGCGGCCTCTATCTCCGTCATCATTGTCTCAGAGCTCGGAGACAAGACATTTTTCATCGCAGCTATCATGGCCATGCGATACAACCGCCTCACAGTCTTGGCAGGTGCCATGCTGGCCCTTGGACTAATGACCTGTCTGTCAGGTTAGCAGATGGAATATGGTTTTAATGTTTAACATTTTCCTTTCACTCCAACTAACAATTAGAATTGTATATAACTGTCTGATCTGTTTTAGTTTTCACCAATTGTAAAACACACAATACTCTAATTTGTTATATACTGTAGGAAGAAAAGGAAAGTGAACTACTTGCACACCACTGCACACAACAAAATGTGGTATATATATATGTGTACATTGTAATATAATATTGACAACATATTTGTTCCTGAATTTAGTCTAATATCCCAGACATTTCATTTGGTACCCTTTTTCTAACTCTTGTCTGTAGTGCTGTTTGGTTATGCCACCACCATCATCCCAAGAATTTACACATACTATGTGTCCACGGCTCTTTTTGCCATCTTTGGGGTACGGATGCTGAGGGAGGGGCTGAGGATGAGTCCAGATGAAGGCCAGGAGGAGCTGGAGGAGGTGCAGGCAGAGCTGAAGAAAAAGGATGAAGAGGTTAGTTGTTGTGTCACTGTATTATAGGTCTCTAAGACAGATCGTCCAACTTGTCTTTCTGCAGTCAAAGCCATTCCACAGCAAACTGAAACAAAAAACTCCACCCTGAAGTCACTGTCCTTCTTTACAATGTGTTTTATACCTTTTTTTCATATATCTGTTCCTGTGAGAGTGGCAACCGTCTTCGACCAACCACAGCTTGAGGAGTGTAATTTCTCCACTCCCATGCCGGAGCTGATTGTTGTCCAACACCTTAACCCTTGGTTTATATGTATTAGTGCTGTTAAACCCAGAGCCAGATCGCTATACTCTGAGTCACTCTCAAAAGAATGAAAACACAATTTGTATCAAGGCAATAGGTCTGACAAGTTGAAGAAATAATAGTAAAGCATGTTATGCATTAGAAAATCTATTTATTGCACAATGTCTTTAGAGGATATTAGCTGGAATGTTATATTCCAGCTAATTTTGGGTTGGAATTAGTAGCTCAGTAAAACGCAACGCAATCTAATCTTGAAAAGTCTAATCTTGCAACATTTAAGTCTTTTAGTGTTAAAACTGTACACTAATCTGAGAAGATCTTGTTGGGCAAAAAATCATACTCCAGTAGTAGGTTTTACATTTTGATAGTTTTTAGTTGGTCTATTTTTGCAGTTTACTTTATACTTTTAAACACAATGACAATCCAACAGACACAACTGAAACACTAAGTAATATGTTAGCATTGTAGCCTGTTGTCTAACATTTCTAATAATTATATCCTACCCATCTATGAATGATTGTTAATATAACTAACATAACTATAGTTAGTAAAATTCTATTCATTGCTGTTATTAACTGTTATAATAATAATTACGTTCTTGTTGGATGAAAACAGGAAGAAGTTTCTACTCAATATCTGTTAATAATATTAATAATAATAAGGTGTCTAAGAGTTTGAATATCATTGTCTTACCAGCTGCAGCGATCCAAGCTGGCCAATGGGGGTCCAGATGTGGAGACTGGGTCGGCGATACCCAACCCTCAGGGAAAATGGCACAGCTTGATCTCCCGCATCTTCATCCAAGCCTTCACCCTGACCTTCCTTGCAGAGTGGGGTGACCGCTCCCAGCTGACCACCATCATTCTCGCTGCTCGGGAGGTTTGTTTGAACTCTACTCAGTGACCTAGGTCACCATCAATAGTTTATAGAGTTTTCATAGTTTGGTTATTAAATGCACATAGCTGATGAAAACTGGTGCTGCATCCCTTTTTCTCAATTCCCAGGATCCTTTTGGAGTTGCAGTGGGTGGGACACTCGGCCACTGTTTGTGTACAGGACTGGCTGTAATAGGTGGAAGAATGATTGCCCAGAAAATTTCTGTCAGAACAGGTAAGTTGTCAATGTTTTTGTACATGTGTTTCATACTATGTTTTGACGATAACACCAGGCTTCACCAGCCTCTGATTATGTGTAATCCATTATTATTATCATGATCTTGTCGTGGCAAATTTCCTGCTTCACCAAGCAGAAGCACGGCCTTCATTATTTTTAAGGAAACAGTTTTAATGTACAGTATGTTTCTGTCTATTCTGCACTAATGTAATGCTGCATGCTGGTGCCACAACACCCATCTGTCTCTTTTGCAAAGCTCAAAAGCTTTATAAACAAACAGTGGAGCAGTGTTTCAGATGGCTTTGTGTGGTTAAAAGAGAATATGGAATTTGAAATGTATTTGCCTTGCTCTGCCTGTCCCCCACAATAGTCCCAGCCCCACACATAGGAATGTAATAATAAACACTGAAAAATAAAGCTACGGTACTATTTTTTGGGATATTTTTGTTTTTTCAGAAAATTGTCTACAAGTAACTCTTAATGAAAATTATTGAATGGAGTTAATCACTGTCAGGACGTTTTATAAGATAGCACTCGTAAATACATTTTATTTTATTTTTGCATCCACAGTTACGATCGTTGGAGGTGTTGTTTTTCTGGCCTTTGCCCTCTCCGCCCTGTTCATCAAGCCTGAGACTGGGTTTTAATTTTCAAGTCATTTAGGATAATTCTGTATATATGTAAGTGTAAAGTAGGTTTTGCCTTAGAGATATTCTGTGTATACGCCACATTCAATACCATGTGTGAGGAAAAGCCCAGTTTTCCTGCAGTCTGCCCCCCCAGAGGGGTTTTAAAAATAGTTATAAATAATTATGTTTCTATGTGCTTTACATTAAGTCCTTTTTCTCCGAAAGATCCTGATCTACAGTAATTCATCGACACTGGGTTAATAATGTTTTAAGTCTGCCTATCAAAGTGCTGTCTCTCTATACTACGACATATTAAAAACAAACATGATGTTTTAGGCTACAATGGTGGTCATATTCCTGGTGATGTTTCCTCATTGTAGCCCATGGCTGCTGATATCGGTCTCAGCATTTGTCTTTGTAAGAGATCGAAACCACTAGAATACCTCTGTGTCCAGGCGTTAACATACTTGACAAAGCTACGCTGAAGGCACAGCATCCACACACAAAGTCTGCCCAAAACTATACTGGGGACCTTTGGATTTAATTTGTACCACATTTTACAGGATGGCAGTAAACAAATCCTGGATAAAGTAAAAGCCCGGTCTGATGTTTATTTCAGTCAGACCTATTTTAACTCAACCTCTCTGTGCCTCTGTTTAAACAGTACCAATGAATCAGTGTGACGGTGATGGTGGATAATAAAGGGATAGTTTATGTTTATAGAAAGTATAAATACAGTTCAGCCACTGGATAAAAAGGACTTATGCTTAAAAATGACACATGCTTAAGAATTTATTGTCTTAAATTACAATTTGAATAGAAATATTTACTTGCCTTAATCAACCAAATTATAGCCTATAAATAAATTTGACAGAAAATCATTTACCCGGTAAAAGGGTGTCAAAGGGTTAGCATTAAAAGAAATAAAACCTGATCAACATTCACCAACCTTGAAAAAAAAGTCTGAACTATCCCTTTAAGAAACCTTCTCACTATTCTTCCATGTTTAGTTTAACTTTTGGAGAATATTAATTGTCCTTTTTGTTGTAAGCAGCTGTTTGTAGATCCATTGCCACGTCAGCCAGCATTGTAATAAGACCAGTTTTCCTTTTATTTAAATGGGGTGGATGTATTTATTTAGCTTAATGTTTTCCTTTTATAATATGTGGTGCAGAGAATGAACATGTTGGGAGACATGAGGGGTAAGAGAACCAGGGAATGGTAATATTTTTTTAACTGTACAGTCCAGGGCCTGGTTGTCAATATTTGACTGCCTGTGCCAAACTGTGAAATACATCTGTTTGTAATACAGGTTGGTTGAAATAGCTGTAAACCAGCAAATACTCAATAAAAATATTTCATGTGTGTTGTTATTGCTAACTGTATTACTTGGACAACATTGAGAATGTATAGAAAGAAAAAATAAGAATTCCATGTAAACCTATGTCCAGATTAAAGTTGATATATTCTTATATAAAAGGGGTTTAATTTGGTTGAATCTAGCAATAAATACAGCACATTACGCAAACAACGCATGGAGTCATTAAAATTACGATTCAAAACTAAGTTCGTTGGTTAAAACTTGAATACATTTTACGGTTTAAGATACAAGCATAACACTAGGTGGCAGCAGTGTGCAATAAAGGTTTATTGTCAGTTTTACTGTGGCAAAAATGTAAGAACTATATAAAGTAGGTAAATTGATAAAGACCTGGTGAAAGGATTCTAGTAATTACTACAAAAATATGAACAATTTTTCCAATGTTTTCCAAACTTCTCTGAAGGTGACCCACTTTTATGAAATGAAAAACCATAAATGGTTCCACTTAGATGACTCAGGGATATCCAAGCTGGAATAAGCGCAGCTGTTATCATTGTATTTTGTACCCGCGAACTCTTAGAACGTGTCCATACTTATGTGCATTTTCCAGAGTTTGTGGACGAAGAATGACCTGTTTTTTGCGGGTACAACAACAAAATTCGTTGCACATTGTGCTGCTTAGTGTATGACGAAATATAATGAACACTGTGGTAAACGAATCAAGGGAGACGAAAATATCAAGGCAGGACGAATGGAGACGAGATCCAATCAGAACGAATTATATTGTGAAGGTAGGTTAATCACCCCAACACAATATTTAATTGTAACTTGAACTAAAAATAAACAAAACAAATAGCCTAAATTAGGTCAGCCAAAATGTAGCTAACAGTTTGCCCAAATTACAGCAAAAAGGTGCAAAAACAAATAAGTCAACCGAAGACAACTAAACACTATGTCCACTGGGGTTGTTTGCCAAAAGTATGGACAACGTTTGTACTGTTTCTAAACCTCTTCATTTAGTGAGTGACCAATATCTTTACTGTTAAATAATTAAACAATAAAATGCCATTTGTATTGTGTTAGGAAATTAAATATAAATCACATTAAAGACTAGTAGTATATTTGCTTTATAGTAAATCGGTTTTGACCTAATTATTTCTTTTACCCAGAGGTAAAAAATGGTACTGCAGGATGGCTTACCTGAACGTTGCCATAGTGATAAGTACCAAGCCAGGTCTAAAAACATTCAGAGTCTAATGAAAATATAGAAACTGGAAAAGCTGTCAAGCCTCAAAAATCTAAAAAAGACAAAAGGCTGTCAAAAGACTGCGCCATGAAAACAAACCAGGAAATTATGTTAAATTGTTTTACATTCTATTTTTTAAAGATATAATATGAACTAATTTACGATACTTTACAAAAGCCCATGGTAGATAAACTAAACATTTTATATTCCAATAATGGTCGGACGCTACTTTGTACTCTATTGCCTGTTCAATTGCGTAGGTGAAGTACAGAGTAATACAGTATATAAAACCACAGCATCCATCTTCACATGCTGCTTCATCTTATACCTTTAAAGAAAAGTTAAACTGTGATAACAGCAGTTACAAAGGTTTGAGGTGTGTTGAGTGCGATGAATTGTCTGTTGTCATACAAAATCTTCTCATGTAAGGCTTAAAAAAAGAAGTGTGACTTTGCAGTGCGAATATATTCCTTAACTTTGGGCGTTGATCATCCCGCATTTACTGTGTGTGTGTGTGCGCGCGTCTGGTAACCGGAGTTCAGAGCTTTTGGCTCCTGCCCCAGTCTGCGCTTCAGACTGCCTCAGCCCTGCGCAGTTCACCGTCAGCAGCAACAGCAGCGCCACCGGCTGCAGGGATATCCCGATGAAAGGGGAGACAGTTCGGGGTAAGTGTGACATTTTAGCCGGTGACCACCGCTCCTTGTTTTTCTTCGTTGTCCGACGTAGTTTGTGTGTTGTTGACAGACAGCGAGCTTGAGACGGAACAGTTCGTAGTCTTTGGCTGCTGCTTGTTTTGGTGTCACGGACTGGCCAAAGGCCCAGTGACCCACATTCTTATCTAATGCTGCGTGTTAGCTTAGCTTCAGGAGCTGCGGACTGACACACATTCAGAACACAAGACTGTTGCGGCAGAGTTCAACCCTCGCTGCTGTATCTTGTCAAGTCGTTTTTTTAAACCGCGGAATTACACCGACGTGCTTTATAATGGACGAATAAGAGTTGACATTGTTTTTTGTATGTCGCAGTAAGTGTGACATTTTATTTTAAGAGCTGCTGTTTGTTTGTTTGGGAATTATCGTGAGCGCACAGGCTGGCGTTAGCCGTGTAGCAATCAGTGCTCGATTTGCCGGCCGGCATCACTGAGCGACGCCGGCATTCAAGCGTTTGTCACCGCACTGCTGACTGGAGTTCAGGTGACTTCACGGACTTGACAACCTCAGTCATCTTCTGTTTTTGTGGCTCCTGATTTTTTTTTCCCACGCCTGCTGCTTTTTTTAAGGGTAGGTCTCCCTCTTTAATAGTGCTGAGTACATGATCTGTGACAGCTGTGTTATTCTAGTCTTCTGTGGTTCGACTTGATCTTCTTCTCATTAATATTATTGTTATTGCTATGCTTATTATTAGTATGAGTAGTAGAAGTATACATATTTCTACAAAATTAACTTTGATTATATGTAAGAACCACTCATAGCCACTCACTGTGTTGGTGAGACCCTTGGAAGAACACCTGAAGTGCATTGCTTGGTTTCGAAGAATCCCCCTAAGTACATTGATGTACAGAAAATAGTTCTTAACTATCCTTTGCAAGCTCTAGATAGTCTTATATGATATTTTTGGTGTCAGCCATTTTTACATTTGCATCAAACGGACTGAGAATATAGAGAAAACCAATGATGGGGAAAAAAGTAGAGTGATGAATTTGATTGGACACCACGCATGCTTGACAACTACGTCATCTAAGAGAAGCCTTGCCATCTGACGAAATCAGTGATATGACCAAAGATGTGATGTTGATTTGTGCAATCCGGCTTTTGTGTGTTATAAGAAAATCAAACAATGTAGATGGTAAATTAACCTAGGTATGCCATTAGTCTAGCCTGCTATTGAGGAATTTAAAAAAAACGAAAGTGACATGCCCATCTGGGAAGTGAGCCTCAGTTTCATGTGAGACAAGAACTTAAAGTAGTTTTATAGTTATATTTGTACCATATCCACTTCCTGGCAAAGTAATACTCTTTAAAGGCATCCTAAGGGGTTTTGTGGTTTCACTACCGTTCTGTCTAACGAAAAAAATGCCTCGGCATAACCTACATCTGTGTACAATGTTTGGCATTAGCAAAGAAAGCAGAACTTTTTGGACGTTGTCCTTTTTTCCCTCCATGTCTAAAACCATTATGTCCAGCATCTAGGTGACGCCAGCGTAATTGGGTTTATTCTATGAGTCAGGTGACAATACATACTTGGCAACCCCCACGTTTCACCGCCTTCTGCTTTTCCATGCCTTCTGCTTCCTGACAGATTGGTGTTAATGTCATGATGGATGACAGCTGCATCTCTCATTTCTAATGCTAAGGTTAAAGATGATTTTTATTTCTCAGACATACCGTATGTATTTGCAATGTTAGATTTTTCAGTTAGAGAATCTGTTTCAAGTTATCTGAGTGTTTTTTTTGTTATTTGAAATTATTTCACATTTTGATTTCATTTGAAGGAAAAAAAAGCACTGAGAGGTTATTCATTAGGTTTGTTTAGTTTAGTATATTATTTAGGATAGTTATTATTGCCACTACAAAAAATAATATAAACTGCAGATGTTTTTGTTATTTTCTGTTACGTAGACCTATTAGGAAAGAAAAAGTAATTTGTCAAAGTGTTGGGTGCACAGAAACCTATTTTCTTTTAGTAGCTCATTTCAGTCAACAAGCACTTGTAATTATCTTGTAAATTGTTGAAATGAGGAACCTGTGACTGAGTGCAGCTTTTGGGAAATGTTTAATCATTGCTAGTTGTGAAAATACAATTTTGGCATGAAAGTCACTTGACTTTGCTTGGATGCTGTCAATTGAAGGAAATCGGAAATGCCAAAAATCTGTGTTGGTAAATTACACTTACCCAAAAATCATAAATTGGAATAAGTAGATTAAGTTGTTGTTTTGTTTTGTATTTTATTACAATTAACAATAACATTTTTTCCAGAGCAGTATTTGAACATTTTGAAGCGCTACCTCTAAATGGCCATTGTGAATAGTATTGACTGCAGAAACAGAACCCTGACTTGTGACATTATAGAAACGTTGCTGAGCTAACTGATGGTTAGGGACCATTTGATCTGGATGATAGATTTGCCAGAAACAAACTGGCTAAGATACGTGGGAAGTTTTGCATATAATTTGTTTGATAATACAGTAAGCTTAAGTCTAACAACAAAATTCAGACCTATTTCCTTAAACTAACTTACATTAAAATTCTATTTCTGTATGCAAAATAGACACTTTAATTAATGTTATATTACATAGTTATAACAATATCATTGTTACAAACCTGTGGTGACTGAAATGTTTCAGTCTCAATGGTTTTGTTCCTATATGTCTGGTGAAATAAAACGTTAATTCACTGAACGTAATCTTCAAGGCCATTGAGCCTTATGCAATCACCTGTGAAGTGAACTGTTGGCCATATCTTAAGGCTGACTCCTATAGAGACACTACATCTGGTTTATATCTTCCCTCTGACATCAATGACACATTTCAGGTTGCATGGTGACCACACACGTGAGAAACTTTTGACGTTTAACTGTAATTCTGTATGTTATTATTTCTCTAATACCTCCTTACTCAAAAGGAAACTATGCACGTACTAAAACCTGTCAGACCAGCTACCATGAGATGTAAAACTTGTCTCTGTGTTTTGACTTATTCTGTTTCCTCACATGGTGACCCTGACGATGACGTCATTTCAAGTCCTCAGTGGTTTGAAGCCCTTTTAGTTATCACCGAAAGAATTTACTTGGTACGTGTTTGTAGCAACATCTGCTGTTGCTTCACTTTGACTGTATTTTGAGCTATCAAATTTGGATCTTAATCATTTGCTGTTGCTAATACTAAATGAGGTAAAAATCTTACCTCATCATACCTAAAAAGATATGCGCGCACACACAATTTCTATTTTTCCAGAAAAAATCTTGTTTGTTCAGTTACACTGATTCAAAATCTACAGTAATGTTAAGTATGGCTTTGTACTGTTTACTCCATTGGTTGTCCAATAGAGAATATATATATTTATATATATTTATTTATAACTCATTCCTAATCTTAAAATCTCAAAATAAATGTCATGATTTGAACCAAACCTAAAGAGCTGATGCAATAAAAATATAATCTTTCAAGAAATACAGAGATACATGTTAATACTATGCAACATACTATGAGGTAATTAAGGGCAGGTTTCTCAGAACCTTTCTCAGATACCTTTTATATAATAATGCAGCCGTATTTTTGCTACATTTTCTTACAGTGCTTTGCCGTCAACACTGCCCAACGCTTGCATTGATGTTGCTCAATGAGCAAATGCTTTGACGTAGATTGTCCTCCCAGCTAAGGTAGGATCTAAAATAATGACAGAACCACCAAAAGGGGCAGATCTCTCACTTCTCCACTACTGTGCGGTGATCACGATGACTCACATGTTTGCATGGTTTCTTGTTAAGTCATGCAAGTTTTTGTTTGCTGTAGGCTGCAGCCTCCTAAATGCAGGCTCTGTATTCTTGTTTATCAGGAAGAATTCAGATGAGTTGATCGAAATGGTCATGAGGTGGAGCAGTTACCTCCAGTCCTCCAAGCCTCACAGATCTTCCCCTGTTGATTTCCAGTTCTCTATAAAACACAGATATCACATTTCGTGTGTTGTTTATGTATGCATTCCTCAACGCTACCAACACTTCATACATGTAGGAGATCTGGTTTTATATTTTTATATCTCTAAGTAATTTCATACTTGTAGATATCTGAAATGGTCAGAATTATCTAGGCTGAATTCTCTCTTTAATCCATCAGTTATTGTGCTTATTGCTGTAATAACTCCATTGTTGGAACCAGTTATCCATTCAAACCTTATAGATGAAGAGGTGAAACAGTGTCAAAATTAAAATATATTAATATTATTAATTAATATATTATTATTTGGACCTCTAACTATAGTTTTCTTTTAAGGTTTTTTTTTGTTTGTTTTTTTAAGATTTTCAACTGAAGCTCTATGCTTTATTTTAATCCCATGGCCTTATAATTTGGTTACAGTGTTATTGATTGATAGACAGTAGGTTCAATAGCCTTTATGAAGCAAACAACGTTTTACAATTATTGGGAGGAGACACATTCTGCCCCTTGATCTAATGTGAGGGTGTTATCAAAGCAGACAGTGAAATGTTTGTAGAACAATACAGTAGGTAATATTTGTTTTTATTTTAAACAGAAACTAAATGGTTTTAATATTTTGTCTTTAAAATGCAGTTTTATTTAATAAAAAGTTATGAGAGAAAAAAGAAAGTCCCACTTTATGGGAATGTTTGCAAGATATTTTTGCAATGTAATTTCTTGCAGATGAAAACATTCGGGCACTGTTTCAGTCAAAGTCAACGTGCATTTGATTGGTGATATAGAGTCTGTAATTACAGGACAGTTTTCCATTGTGGAAAGCATAACCCTCACTACTACTGCCACTTTCAACCTATTACAGTTAGACTTAGAATTAGACGATTAGCTGTACACTAAGTTGTAGTAACCAGGGTCACATTAAGTACTTCAGATAAAAAGCTCTATTATATTTAACTACTGGTCTAGATTAAAATACCTTTAAAGAAATGTATCACAAAGTGAAGACAAACAGTTGTTACATAAGGATTGTAAAATGTGCACTGTATACAAATTCTGTCCTTCAATAATATAATCGATTCCATGACCCAATAAAAGAAATGTTTAAAAAAAATGGCAGAGGATAATATTTTATACTGACTGCTGAACAATAAAACTATTAAATTAAACATTTGCAGTCACAGGGGAGCCGGTATCATTTAAACATAAAAAAAACCCCAATAATTCAGCTGGATTCATGTAGGCTTTATACAGATAAAATCCAATAATGTCAACCAGCAAAATATTATCTCATACTGAGATCAACTACAATCTTTGCCACTAATTTAGGGATTAAAGTTGCA